TCGTTTGTGAATACGGGCGTTACTCTTCCATGCAAAAACTTCAGAACTAATTTTGATGAAGCTTTACAGTATTATTATTTATACATCAGAATAACATACAGGCTACAATTTATAACGATTGGTACATATAGGCTAGAATTTATAATTATCTGTTTAATGTTAAAGTCACGCGGGCGAAGCCAAGGGCAAAAGCTAGTTACAAATAAATTTCCAAATCGGCTCTTAGAAAAGACTTCAACGCGTTAGGATTTTGATTAAACGCCTGACGTGAATTTGTTTGTTGAAACATTTGACTGTGCTTTAAAAAGTTTATGATTAGGAAGGTACGCAGATAATAATGCCGAATAAGTTAACATAAAATTTTGTACTGCTTTTCAACTGTTATTTACTCAGAAATATAACCTTCATCTTTTTATTCTCTGAAGGTTATTAAATAAATAAGTGAAATAAATAATGTCAAAGGTGTTTTAAAAATTCAATCGCAAACCTAATTTTTCGATTTCACGTGTAAATAAACTATAGTCTAAACCAAGTCCAGTTTTTTGTAGGTACACTTATAATATTAGCTAATGCAATAATAAAATGTTCCCCCTGAAAAAATCATTTACATACATATTGTGTAAGATTGCACTCTGTGATAACGGATGAATAAAAAATGACCTACCACTTACAACAAACATTTATAACATTAGCTGTAAGTTTTCCAAACAGCGGTAAAATAAATAAAATACACTCAGGATATAAAGTCGAGTTTTAGCGGTAAAATAAATAAAATACACTACAGAATATAAAGTCGATTACGATTTCTCAATAAAGAAACCGTTAACCTCCATAATAATATATCAAAATCTGAAGTTCCCTTGACTAGATGTACCTAATAAATAAAATTAATGTCTACTAAGGGCGGTAAAGCTCCGAGTTTGGCGCCCGCTTTGAGTACGTAGCAAAGTTTTGCTTCACAGCGAAACAACGTTGAATAATGATACAGGAATGTAAAGACTTCATACTCGTATTTCGAAATAGCTGTTACCTCCAACTTTTCATATTATTTATTTATTTAAAATTAAATGTAATTAAAAGAAAGCTATTTCCACGCTGCGCCATTAATAATTCTAATATTCGTATCCTTATTAAAGATCATTTCAAGCATTTTAAACACACACATTTTATATTTTAACTCGTAAAACATAGCTAAAAATGTTCGATCAAGCCACCTTTCAATGTAAAAAAAAATCTATATCAAAATCAATCGATCTCTTTGAGAGCTCCAACGTAGCTACGATGGTACAGACACAGATCCACAATTTGCCAAACTTATAACAACACTCATTTTTCAGGAGTTTATAAGTTTCTTCTATAAAGTTCTCTGTCTATCCCTGAAGTCTGAATAATAAATATGTAATCTTTATTTTCATTACAGTTTTTTCATAATTTTCAACGTTTTCAACTTACCTAAATTTAAAAGATCTGATCACAAATCAAACAGTTACAATATTGTTCATAGGCAGTAGTTCCATCTCAGCCTTTTGTGAACACTATGCCAGTTGTTTTTGTATAGGCGCTTATTGCTTATGAAAAAAAATTAACCGCCTCTGTGGTCTAGTGGTAAGACCACCTGCTTCAGACACAGAGGTCCCGGGTTCGATTCCCAATGGGGGCAGATTTTTCTGTTCGGTTTGGTTCGGCCATCTTACCTAAGTCTGTCGCCATAACAACATTAACAGCATTGTTGTGTTCCGTCAGTTAGAGGTAAGATAGCCAGTTCCTCCGTGGTTGAGGATTCCGGGTGAAGCTCGCTTCCACCTTCGGCCTGATCGTATTATATTACCTATCTATACTTACAATAAATCTGTAGAGAGGTCAATTCTGTACATGAAATATATTTTCAAAATAACTATCAGGGGGTGATTAGTGATCGATACTGATGCCTTTTTGGCATCAGTATCGATCAATTTTGCAATCAGTAAAATTTTTGTCTGTCTGTCTGTCTGTCTGTATGTTCCTTATAGAAACAAAAACTACTCGACGGATCTTAACGAAACTTGGTACAATTATTTTTCATACTCCTGGGCAGGTTATAGGATACTTAGGAATTCCCACGGGAACGGGCATTAGCGGGAAAATCCTTTTGTATGAAATATCTAAACCGCTTAAGTTAGACGCTTGAAATTTGGCAAGCAGGTACCTTAGTAAACTTAAAGCTTAGTTATAACAGGATATTGCAAAATTCCTACGGGAACGGGAATTATCGAGAAAAACATTTTTTGAAAAAATCTAAGCCACGTAACATAGACGCTTGAAATTTGGCATGCAGGTACCTTAGTAAATTTAAAGCTTAGTTACAACAGGATATTGAAAATTCTCACGGGAACGGGAGTTAGCGGGAAAAAATATTTGTATGAAAATATCTAAACCGCGTAAGTTAGACGCTTGAAATTTGGCATGAAGGTCTCTTAGTAAACTTAAAGCTTAGTTACAACAGGATATTGCGAGTTAGCGGGAAAAAACATTTGTATGAAAAAATCTAAACCGCGTAAGATAGATGAAGGGGGTAAAATGGGATCCACGCGTACGAAGTCGCGGGCGGCCGCTAGTTTTCAAATAAATAAGTGAGGATAAAGGCAACAGTTTTAAAATGGAGTGACTTAACAAGAGAAGACTTAAGATCCAAAAATGTGGCTAGCCTGAATATAACCTCCCCCTTGTACTTCCAGCAGTCCTAGTGAGATCCTAGTCAATATCGGGCAATGACTTTTCCTACATGCTTACGCTTAGTGTTTTCCTCTGAGTAGTTCAATTAGAAGCTTTTTTTGTATTGTCTGTTAAAAACCGCTAATATTTTATGTAACATTTATTAAAACGACGCCTTGTACTTTTCTATGACTTCTTACATCAAGTCGATGATTCGTATCGGCGGGCATGTACATATGGTGTGTAGAGGGTCAAAATTGTAAACATCACTAATCCTTAGTCGCTCCTAAAGCTTGGCGGTGCCTTTCGGTTTCACCCTGCGTAAGTATAATGTATATAAAAAGAAAGAAAATGTATAAATGAATAAATAACAATAGATATTATAATGTACGAACATTATTGCATGTCATGGAACTCTTTTTTAGCTTAAGTGCCACCATTGTAAGAAAAATATTCGAAAAAAAATGTAATATAGCTGTTGAGTTTCTGAATAAACTAAATAAATAAATAAATCATCTCATATCTTTTAAACTACGCATCAGATTTTAATTTACTTTTCAGAAATAGTTGATTCAAGTGAAAAGTATATGTGAATACATAGCACGACACGAGGTGAGTAGATAAAAACAAGAAAACAGTGTTGTATGGCACTTCTAGAACTTTATTTACCTACTATCATAATAAATTCAACTGTTTCTTGTCCAAATTACTTCTTTCTCTTTGTCCGGATTCATTTTCGCGTAGGTTGTAGGCGTTCACGTGTTTTGTAGGGAAGTGAGCTCAGAACTTCTTGTCGAATTTCTTCTCCTCGTAGTGGTGGGTCTTGATGTACTCCAGGGCGCGGAGGATGCCCGCTGGCACTGGGGGGGCGGTGGGGATGAGGTCGCTCTGAAAAGGTTAAATAAGTATTTAACAAGCACGTGATAATAATTTTCAAAGAAACTAACAATCACGAACGAGACCTGAGTTCTGTTTTGAATACAATGAATAAAGTTTTAATATTTGAGACAATNAAAAGTTATTACGTTTTCTTTACAATAAGTAATTGGAAGAAAAAAAAATCTATAAAAAATTAAAAAAAAATCTCAAAAAAATTTTGACCTCTTTTTTGTCGATAAAAATAAGTCTAGTTTCATCTGTTTTCATATGTACACTTTAACGTGACTCACACTGTATAGTAGATTAAAGTAGCTAAACTCGTAAAACATAGCTAAAACACCTTTCACTGTAAAAAACTAGATCAAAATCAATCAATCTCTTTGGGAGTTCCCATCGTAGCTACGAGGTCATATCCACAATTAGTCAAACTTATAACAACACTTCTTTTCCAGTGGAGTTTATAAGTTTCTTCTTGCTAACGAAGTCTAAATAAAAAATGTGTATTAAATTATTAATCTTTATTTTCATTCTAGTTTTTTCATAATTTTCAACTTAAATCTAAAAGATCTGTTCTGATCACATCAAATAATTACAACGGTTAATAGGCAGTAGTTCTATCTCCGCCTTTCGTGAACACTATGCCAGTAGTTTTTGTATAGGCGCTTATCGCTTATGAAAAAATAGTAAATATTGTATCTTTAAGCTAATATTCACTTCAATTAATAAGTGCGGATTAAGGCAAATAATTTTAAAATGGAGGATCCAAAAATGTTGTTACTTCTGATATCTCTATCATCGTATTCTGTGAAGTATACGTCAAAGCTAAACATAACCTCCCCTTGCACTTCCAGCGGTCCTAGTTAGATCCTAGACAATATCGGGGAATGACTTTTCCTACACGCTTAAACGCAGTGTAGTTCAATGAGAAGCTTTTTTTGTATTGTCTGTTAAAAACCGCTAATATTTTATGTAACATTTATTAAAACGACGCCTTGTACTTTTCTATGACTTCTTACATCAAGTCGATGATTCGTATCGGCGGGCATGTATGGTGTGTAGAGGGTCAAAATTGTAAACATCATCTTATATCTTTTAAACTACGCATCAGTACGGCTAGCACGAAAAACTTTCGAGTTCAAATCGTTTGCGTACTCGAAACGCCATCAAAAGATTTAGTAAGAAAACTACAACAGCGCCCTTGTGAACGTGTCGTAAAGTGAACTATTTTCAGAATGAAAATTGTCACGTTATCGTTTAATTCGAAGATTGAGTATCGAATTTTATCGAGTACGCAAACGATTCGAAGACGAAAGTTGTTCATGCTAGAAGTACAGATTTTAATTCACTTTTCAGAAATAGGTGATTCAAGTGAAAAGTGTATGTGAATACATAGCACGAGGTGGGTAGATAAAAACAAGAAAACAGTGTTGTATGGCACTTCTAGAACTTTAATTACTATCATAATAAATTCAACTGTTTCTTGTCCAAATTACTTCTTTCTCTTTGTCCGGATTCATTTTCGCGTAGTTTGCAGGCGTTTACGTGTTTTATAGGGAAGTGAGCTCAGAACTTCTTGTCGAATTTTTTCTCCTCGTAGTGGTGGGTCTTGATGTACTCCAGGGCGCGGAGGATGCCCGCTGGCACTGGGGGGGCGGTGGGGATGAGGTCGCTCTGAAAAGGTTAAATAAGTATTTAACAAGCACGTGATAATAATTTTCAAAGAAACTAACAATCACGAACGAGACCTGAGTTCTGTTTAGAATACAATGAATAAAGTTTTAATATTTGAGACATTATTTTCATGAATTTGAAATTTAATAATAATCTGAAATCTAAAAATAAGAAACTGTAACCTCTTTTACCTGGGGCTGGTATCCGTTCTCGTCGGCTACGTAGGTCACTGAGACTGGGCCCTCAGGAGACTGGTACTGGAATTGACCTCTGACAACCTACAGAGTATGCAAAAGAACAAGTAAATTCCACGAAAACATTTTAAGAAATGCAGCAGTTTAATACTCAATAAATAAAAAAGTACATTAATTAAAAAACGAATAAAAAAATATTTTAAAAAGACAAACCATGGTTTGGACACCCTTTTCGAGCTCCTTCACGACACCCTGGGCTTCAGCAGAGATTCCGTTGGAGGTTTCGTAGCTGAAAGTAAAAAAATATACTTTTAAAAGGCTATTCTAATCACGTTGTTTGGTTTTAGAATCATAATTCTTACTGTAATCTGAAATGAAAAGACTAGTTTTACTGCAAATAAAACCTAAATAAGGCGTAATAAGTAAGTATAGGTAAATAGTTGTTGCAATTCACGAAGACGAGTGAGCTTTACATGTGTGGTAATGTTCGTTTTTCAAAAGTGTACTATAGTTAAGTGCATTTACACGTACACACACAAGTAAAGCTCACTCGCCTTCGTGAGTTGCAAGAACCACAAGAACTACAATAAATAAATGTTAATTACGTGTATGCGTAGCTGTCAGGGTTCACTTGAACTTCGGAGCGCACGGTGTCAGCGGAGGCATCCTTGCCGTCGTTGACGTATGTCTTGGCGACGTAAGTTTCAGGCTTGGTCTTGAAGGCGGGGGCGGGGGCGGCGTTGATGGTGACTTCAGCGGGCTGCACAAACACTGAGGCGGAGGCCTTGGCGACATTGCTGAAGCCTGGGCGGGAGTAGGAGGCGGCGCTCGCGGCGCACACGCAGAAAGCCAGTACCTGAAAAATATACATAAATTAGATATAGGCTCAATAACTCTGTAAAAGAGATATTTTCGATTTACTTTACATCATATCTTAATAAGTTATAACATCTTTTTAAACATTAATTAATTAGGTTTGTAATTTCAATATGTTGTTTAATTCTATCACTTGATGATTAATTTATTTATTTGTTTCTATTTTTCTAAGTTAAAAAGGTTTTATGTACTTAAATTAAATCACTTCACAAGTATGTGTACTCACTAAGAATTTCATGTTTGCTGAGATCTGTGTCTGTTTGATATCCAGAAACAAAGTAACCCAATCAGCAGGACATTCGTATTTATACGTTAACTAAAATAGGTAAAAAATCGTCTGAGTAACTTAATGAGGTTAATGACACAAAGACCTTGTCTAAACTCCATATCAATTTCTCGGTTGGACGTTAAACGCCGGGGTCCATCTACCAATATATCAGTCAACGACTTTTATTCGAGTTTTCGCCATAGGACACGCGGGTTCTGTACTAATATTTTTTTAGCATTCATAATTCCGAAAATTCCCAAAGATTGTGGTAAGACACTAAAAAAAAATCACCCGAGTAAGCCTTTCGAGCTTCCTTTTTCGAGCGGTATTTGGTATGCCATTGGAAAAAGTTTATACTTACTTCGTTTTTTTATGCAAACCGACAATAAAAGTTTAGAAGAATCTTAGAATAGCTATTAAATACCTACTTATATTGTGTAATTTACAATGTGTGTCGCCAAAATTATTAGATTCATAGATAGAAATGTAGAGTCATTATGTCAATTAAAATACCTGTAATGTACCACCACCTAACGAGCTATAATAACAACCATTTTTCAATTGATTTGTGATGCCAATTATTGGTTGCATTTTTGGTTGCAGAACTACAAGGATTAGAAGTACTTAATGCGTCGAAGAAACATTAGATGGCGTAACTGTGCACTATTGATCTTGCTAGTAGCTTTTCAAATTAAAAAAAAAGAAGTGAAAAAACGAAGGATCCCTCATTCATCATTTTGTTTTTAACGGATATGAAAAACTCATCTTAAAATTTGACCTTGAAAATAACTACAAGAATTTAGACGACAGGCCGTTAATTTTACACGTACCATGAATATCGGAGATGTGAGGTCCTCACGAAACTAGTTTTATTCGTCTAAATGTCAACGGCTATTATTACCTCCTCCGCGGGTCACTAGGGTCAAGAATTATCTTTGCAGACACAGGTTACGCAACATTTTATAGAAGTTTTGGCGAACTGAATATTTTTAATTTAATGTAGTTTAAAAACTAGGGCTTAGTTATTTTCCAATGAGTTAAATAATGTTATCTAACCTCTAAATGTTGAGTATTAAGGTACACCTTAGAACTATTCATTTATGAACTTTGACAACTTTTTCTTAGCTTATAGAGGTTTACAATTAGTGAAATAGGTAGTAGATAGGTATAAAGTACGAGTTATTTAAGCGAAGGATTAAAGCCCGTTTTCACCATCAATCCCAAATTTTTAAGTGACCCCCATGAAAACAAAATTTCGGCTATGGGTCACTAAAAAATTGGGTTGATGGTGAAAACGGGCATAAGTAGGTGTTTCTTTTACAACTTTTGTGTTTGTTCTATTTGTTTGTGGATATATGTTAAAGCGCGCATACGAGTACAGCTTGAACAGACAATTCTTACAAACAGCTTATGAAACAACCTATGATGAATTTTTTGAATGATATGTTTTTTCTTGTGAAAATAAAGTGATTCCCCAGATTTTATATTATATGTTCTTAATAAATTTTCGAAAATTATGAAAGATCATGCCCGTGGCTTCAACCCCGTAACTTTTGGTATATTAAAGGAAATCTAAATCACATTTCATGCTATTTTCACATTATCTCTAACTATGAAATCGTTGTCTCCGTGGTAGGAACCAATACTATATTTGCCCACTCTATTAATTAATTGTAGATCCCAAAATATCAAACATTAGGATTTCAACTATTAAGCGTGAATACGAAACAGGTAAGTAGATTTATTTTCGCATTAATTTAGTTTGGATCTACGTAAGTAATAATGACCATTTATTGTACGTCACACGCACTTAAGTAATTGTTCATCGTAATTCTAAATATAGCAGTTTGTTTTGATAGTACTGTAATTATAATGATTGAAAGCTGATTTAATATCGGCCTTGAGCATGTGCCCTTTACTCTTCGACAGTCACTGATGCTCAAATTGCTTGTTGACCTCTTTGGTCAGATCCACTAAGTTTTATTGCCCATGAAATATTTCCTTACTATAGATCGTTTTTCTGAACCCAACCTTGACTAAAGGGTAGGTAATTATTTTATTTTTAATATTATAAAACTGAAGAGTTTGTAAACAGACAAACAGACTTTAACGCACTAATTTCAGGAACTACTTTTTGGATTTGAAACATTATTTTTGTATTAGATAGCCCTTTTGTCCAGGAAGACTTTATGCTATATAACATCACCCTACAGTAAATAAGGGCGGAGCAGTAAAGAAAAGTGTTGCAAAAACGTTAAACTATTTTCATGCATACGAAGTCGCGGGCGCAGCTAGTTAAATAAACGATTCATCAAAATTAATGGCAATTATAAACAAAATTAGTGTATTGATGTCTCTTCCAGATCCATTGACTGAAAAATCACGAATGTTTTCAATTTAAATAGCTAAAATTGTCATCTTGAATGAATTTACAGGAAAATAAAAAATAAAACAATTCAAGCTGCAAAATATTAGCAAAATGTCAAATTATTAGCAAAATTTTGTGATTCTTCAATGTGATTTTTCAACACTTTAAAGGACTAGATTTTAAAAGATTATATGTATAATAGGGAAATAGGGAGAAAATGATAATACACAAAAATATCATAAAAATATTTACATTAGGTATAAAAATATGTACAAAATTTGTTACAAAAGTCGTGTTGCTCAATAAATATTCCTTAATAATCCCACTAAGCTTATTTCAGATTATTAAGGAATATTATAAGTTAGTATTTAATCCTATTTTTCACATAGTGAATATGGCGGACTGTTGATTTACCAGTAGGTAATTTCGAACAGGATTGTTCTTAGCGCCTTCTGTTTTCAGGCTGGGGGGGAGCGGTGGCGAGGTAGTCGAGGGCGCGCTGGATGGCGGCCGGCACGGGGGGAGGGGTGGGCAGGTGCGCGCCCTGGGGCTGGTACCCGTTCTCGTTGGCGACGTAGGTCAGCTGGATGTTACTGCCGTCATCGCTGGGGTACTGGACCTGGCCTTCCACCTGCAGAGCGGGCTCCTCGGCGCCAACGTCCTTCAGAGATCCCTTCTCTTGAGCTACGATGCCGTTTCCAGTCTCGTAGGAGAACGAGTACGAACCGTCCGGGCTGATATCGCTCTCCTGACGAAGAATCGGGATGGGCTCCGTTTGGCCTTGAGGGGCGGCGACGGCCACAGCCAAGAGTCCCAAGAAAACCTGAAAAAATATCAAAAGCTTTTAACTTTCCGCTCCCGAACTTTCACTGAATTTGCCCTAGTATAATTTTCAGGTCAAAACACTGGTTTGCACAAATATCCGCAAAATTTTCGAAAGTTCGAGTCGTATTACACTTTATTGATATTAAATATTCAAACACTATCACTGACACTTACAATGGTCTTCATGTTTGTGTATTTGTTTGTCGGTGAAGGCACTAGACAATGTTTTCTAACGGTGTCATATCGGTATATATACGGATGGGTCACTGCGCCGCCTTCCACCTCTGGGTGGTATTGCACCACTTGGCACGTCAGAATAAATTCGATAAAATATGTGCGGGCCTACTGTAGTCATACGTTTGCGTGATGTCGACAACATCACAGTTTAATCGATAAGCACTGAAATATCATTGTATTGAGTAAGCAAGTTGTTTAGTCCTATAGACTTCTATCTATCCTATTATTTTGTTTGGATAAAAAATGTTTATGATAATTTTTGTGATGTAAAATTATAAAAAATTAAAATTATTAATATTGCAGTGATAATAAAAATTATTTCTAAGCCAGTATCTGCAATCTGCATTATCATTATTATTTAGAAATCTAAGACGGTGGTCTAGTAGTTAAAAAGTAATTATTGCTCTCAATCTGAAGAAGGGATAGTTCAATTTTGAAATTGGGACACAAATATTTTTATAATTTTGTCTTTGTTTTGTTAAAACATTGACTGTTCATAAAAAAGCTCAGTTTTTGTTTTAAGTTTCAAGAGCAAATTGAAATATTATTGTATAACATTAGCATAGTCTAAAATCTTAATGAATCTAAGTATAATTGTATCAAAGCATATTATAATTTCTCGTTCTAAGAATGTACAACTACTTGTTACAAATCATAAACACCGTCCAATATGGTAATTTCCATTATTTACACAACCCATCGATTCTACTAATTTATTCACTAATTTCAATGAAATATATGGTAAATGTCATAAAAATATAATTATAATGAGAAGACCGATTGTTATCAAGGACGTTTAAGGCTTCAATGGGCAATATTATAATAAAAAACGAATAAAGTTTAGTCAATATTATAATAGAAAACTAATCAAAGGATTGATTTCTGATGATGTTGGACTATCGTTAACGATTATGATAGCTTCCAAATGCGTAAAGTACACGATTAATTACAGTCTCATTTCAGCAAACATGCTACGCTTTTACAGTTCAGTGAACATTTACGTTTTTATGGAGAAAAATGTTGTCAGTAGTATACAACAACCACATGAATATGAATGAAACATGATGTACGTGTGTATATCTGATAGGTTTTGTAAACAGCCGGCAATACGCAGAAATCGCCATCTTAAAACAATTCGCATGTCTGCAAACATCTACTTGACATAACTTTTTTATTTCATTACAAGTGTTTAATGTTTTCTTCATTGCTTCATGAGTTCATTAACATAAGGCTGACTATTCATGAGCTTGGAGAAAATACGTGGTACTGAGTTGCCACAATTAGGTCATAGTTCACTTCCGAATCACTGAAAAATAGCGTGTCTAACAAGGAGTGAATTTGAATAGATCTTTTTAGTCAGACTTTCTCATCAGTCAGCCCGCAGATCTTATCCTGCGTGGGCTGAGGTGATCGATAGTTCATAATAATTGTGTACAAATGATATCTTAATCACCATCAGCCGCTAGAATTACACTGCTAGACATACCCTCCATAAAACAACTCCACTATACAATCGAGTAGCTCTAGATCTAGCTCTAGGCCGTTTTCAGTGACTTCCCGCAAACTAGAACACCGATTCCACAGTGCGCTAATTGCAGTTTATAAGAGGTCAATAGTTTTTTTTTATAAAAGAACAAATAATTTAGGGCACTATGTGTATTTCATGTCAACTTTTTTTTAAAAGGAATTACGTTTTTCAAACCAAAGGTGCATTTTATGAATGCCCTTTTTGTTATGATTGCCCAGTTTGCCCACCGCCAAGTAGGTATTACGAGGAAAGAAAAGTTTGGTTTATTGAGGCCATAGTAGATGTATTGTGACCGATAATAATTATGACATACCTAGTTACTAATAATGTGAAAATTAAAAAAAACACATAGGTACTATCTCATAACTTTTTATTTAATACCAAACAATATGTTTTGCTTTATAACTTCTATTCTTTAGTGAATTCTATTGTTGCAGATAACAATTTAACAAATAAGTTATATTCGATTGTTTGAGTACCTACTAACAAGCATGATTAACAAGGAGTCAAAGTTACAAAGCTTGTTTATAAATGCTAAATGAACAATTAAACTATATTCGCAATTAAAAATTGGGTCAATATTTTATTGAAGGCTTTACCCATATCGACTGTACTCAAAATATTATTTCACATGTCAATGGTTCCCCATGTGATTAATACAACCATTGATGATTGTCACTGAACACTATTTATTTGTATAAATTATAATAACTTACAACACGAATATTATCGAAATTCTCTGTAAAATGAAATGTTTCAGATTTTGAGTACAATAAACGTTAAACATTCTTAGGGCAGATAAATATGTACCATCCTAGACTGCATCTCCCTTAACACCAGTTTGATCTGGTCAAATAAGTACTTGCCTTGTTCTGCTTTAAAAAAACGTCTCTGTTCCGCGAATTACGAGTACACATATTAACAATTTATTATACTTACTTACTCAGATTTGTGTGTGAGGGTCAAATAGCTTGTTTAGCTTTATTTTTTTCAGTCAGTGGACTGCTGGTCACGCGATATTGTTTAGAGTAGATACCTACCATATTATGGAATATAATTTAGTTTCCGCTACATAATATTCCATGTGTTAAATACAGAGTGCCCATTAATAATGGATAACCTTACAACTACCGATTTGCCTCCTCAAGATCTCTATTATATCAAAATTTTGACCTTAGTAAAAATATCACATATTTAAAGTTTTATTTTTAGAAAATTGCCACCTGTGATTAGTTTTTCTCATGAAATTCAACAAACTATGTAGTTCCAAAGTACATATTTAAAAAAAAAATAAGAAAAGGAAAATTTATTCGTAATCTCGCATCGCACGCAATCGCATGTGACAATTTTCTAAAAATACAAAAAAAACTTAAAAATCTCGAAAACCGTGATGTTTTTACCTGGTCAAAATGTTATATTAGAGAGACCATAATGATAGATAGATTGGCTTATCGATAGTTACAAGGTTATCCATTGTTTTTGGGACATCCTGTATGTACTTAAGTGAGGTTTGAGGTTTATTCTCTTGTAAGACAAATAAAATAGTGGTATAAATTGTATGACTTTAATATATTACCATTATGACAGTAATTGGTATAAAAATACAAAAAATTTATCACGATCACTATTGATTAGTGACTATTGANACTTTTAATTGAGATCCGTTGACCGAGTTACTGTGACGGACTTGGCTGAGGGGGGGCAGTGGCGATGTAGGCGAGCGCCCGCTGGATGGCTTCGGGCACCGGGGGGGGAGTGGGCAGGTGCGCGCCCTGGGGCTGGAAGCCGTTCTCGTCGGCCGTGTAAGTCAACTGGATGTTGCCGTTCTCGCCGGGATACTGGTATTGGCCCTGCACGTCCAGAGCTTCCACGTCTCCCACCTTCTTCAGTTCACCTTTCTGGTCCGCGCTGATCCCATTTCCAGTTTCGTACGAGTACTGGTAGGAACCATCCCCGTTGACCTGGCTGTCCTGCCGAACGATGGGAATGGGCTCTGTCGGAGCCTGAGGAGCGGCGAAAGCCACTGCGACCAGCATAGACACTAAAACCTGCGAACAACAAATTTGCACAGCTTAATATCACTCCACGTTTATTATCTTGCATCTCATCACATTTCAATATTTATAGAGCAACTTTTAAAATACACTAGATTAACATAATCTCAACTTGATTGGACACTTGATTTATAAGTTCACTGAACTTGACCACTGTCAAGTCAATCACGTAATCGGGTAAGCACCATGCTAAGTATCACACTTACAATAGTTTTCATTGTATCTGGTTGATTGATGGTTGAACCACAAAGGATGAAGGTGGACTGATAGTGACACATCCTGACGTTTTCAATATTTATAGTGAGTACCGAATAACCACCTCCCTAATTTCACAATTGCGATGTCGTAAAATCTATGAAATAAGTAAACAGATGCATTACCTCGGTCCGTATATGTCAACTAGGCATGCGACGTAATAGCTGTCAACAAATCTAACGGATTTCCATTTGTTCGGCACCTAGGTACTCGTGGCCTTAGTGCTCTAATGTTTGCATCCACTACAGTAACAACTAGCTGCGCGCCTACGTTGCTGCAGGAATGTTTGAAGATAATATTGGAGATGCTACAATATTTAAATGACATTGAAAAAATATCTACTGCATAATTTTGATTGGCCTTTTTTATCTTCGGTGCCTATCAGGAGCTTGTATTACAATATTCAGAATCTTCCCATGTGAGCTTAGGTATTGCTCTCCTCATTACATTGATATTGCTTACTTTCGAATAAGAAAGAAAGAAAGAAAGAAAGAAAAAATGTTTCTTCAGTAGTGGCTATTATAATCTAAAACTGATAATTAATCTACAGAAAGTTCAATAATGGATCTAATAGCCTACACACAGTTCTAAGATCCTTCAAGTTTATTGCCAGCAATAAAATGTGTTTCCTAATTATTGTCCGAAGAAATAAAGTAAATAATATCCATCAACTTTTTGTCATCATCACAAAATCACAAGGTAGACTTTTAATTAAGGCCTTACTAATTAACCTTCACACAAATAACGGACAAAGTAACTGGCTAACTTATAAGTATGGCGCTTCTGCTTAAGAACACCACTCGCTTGTAAGAGAATCTCATCAACTCAATAATTTTATTGAGGATGTTCAGAATTTTTATATTTACCCAAAAGTACACACTTGTTAAAGAAAGTTACATGTTGTTCGGTTATCAAGTGGTTAAATGAGTCTTGTCTTGTCAAATTCTGTACAATACCATAATACTTATAAAGTTGAACTACGTATCTACTTACACATTAAATCATACACAACAGCCATAGAAGAGAAGAAGAACTAAATTGTTTAAAATAACGGGGATGTAGGTAAACACACCATTAGCTACACTACATTATGTACTTAGAGGTGAAGTTCACCTCTAGAGTTCACGACGGAACAATTTCTTCGGAAACACGCGAGAAACGAATAGAGCCGGCCAATGTCTA